CACAATATCTCTTGTGAATTTAGACAAAAAATCCTCAAGAAAATACTAAAAACCAAATCCAACAACATATAAAAATGATTGTATACCATGAACAAGTGGGATTTATCCCAGGACTGCAATGTTAGTTGATTGTATAAGAATCAATTGCCATGTGAATAAAATACAGGGCACTGTCACATGATCCTTTAATTAGCTGCAGAAATAGCATTTGACAAAATTCAAAACCTTTCATAATAAAAACACTCAACAAACTAGGACTAGATGAGAACTTCCTCAATCTGATAAAGGACATTTATGAAAAACCCACAGCTGACATCATACTTAAGAGTGAAAAATCTGAGAGTTTCCCCCTGAAGATCTTGAACAAGACAAGAATATCTGGATATTCACATGTGAAAGAAGGAAGTTGGATGCTCTCTCTCACACCATATACAAAAATAAATCAAAATGAATCAAAGACCTAAAACATAAGAGCTAAACTTTGAAGACGTTTTCTTAGAAGAAAACATAGGCTTAAATCTTCAGGACCTTGGATTAGGCAATAGTCTCTAAAAAAAAAAAAATGACATCCGAAGCATAAGCAACAAAAGAAAAAACAGATAAATTAGACCTCATTAAAATTAAAAACTTGTGCATAAATGATGCTATCAGTCAAGTGAAAAGACAACCCACAATGTCTTAGTCCATTTTATGTTACTTTAGGTGAATATCTAAGATTGGGTAATTTATAAAGAAAAAAAGGTTTATTTACCTCATGATTCTAATGTCTGGAAAAGTTTAAGTTTGAGCATTTGGGGAGGGCCTCAGGCTGCTTCCTCTCATGGTGGAAAGTGAAAGGGTGTGGCATATGCAGAGATCACATGGCAAGAGAAGAATCAAGGGAGGAGAGGTGCTAGGGTCTGTTTTTGTTTGTTCATTTATTTGTTTGTTTTTGAGGGTGTTGCTCTGTTGCTGGGTTGGAGTGCTGTGGTAAATAGTTGTAGCTCACTGCAACCTCTAACTCCTGGGCTCAAGTGATCCTCCTGTCTCAGCCTCCTGAGTACCTGGGACTTCAGGTGTGCACCACCACACCCAGCTAATTTTTCTAATTTTTTTTTTTTTTTGTGGAGACCAGATATTGCTATTTTGCTCATGCTGGTCTCAAACTCCTAGCCTCAAGCAGTCCTTCCATTTCAGCCTTCCAAAGTGCTATGATTACAGGCGTGAGCCACTGTGCACAGCCCTAGGGTCTTTTAAACAACCAGCTCTTTGGGAACAAATAAGGTGAGAATGCATTCCCAAGGAAGGGCACTAATCTATTCATGAGGGATCTGCCCCCATGACCCAAACAACCTCCATTAGGCCTCACCTTCAACAATGGTGATCAAATTTAAATGTGAGGTTTAGAGGAGACAATATCCAAACCATAGCACATAGAATGGGAGAAAATATTTGCAAGTCATATATCTGATAAAGATCTAAAATTCAGAATACACAAAGAACAATTATAACTCAATGATATCAAGAAAAATAAAAAACGGCCAAAATATTTGAATAGAAATTTCACAAAAGATATAGAAATGGCCAATAAACACATGAAAAGATGCTCAACATTATTAGGAAAATGCAAATCAGAATAACAATGAGATACCACTTCACACCCACCAAGATGGCTATAATAATAAAAAGAGATAATAAGTGTTTGTGAGGATGTGGAGACATTGGAACCCTGGTGTGATGACAAAATGACATAGCCACTTAGGAAAATAGTTTGGCAGTTCCTCAAAAAGTGAAGTATATAGTTAAAATATGACACAACAATTTCACTTTTAGGAAATATACCTTTGAGAATTGAAGACATATGTCCACACAAAAACTTGTACACAGATACTCATAGCAGCGTTATTTGTAATGGCCCAAAGCAGAAATAACCCAAATCTCCAACTGCTGAATGAGTAACCAAAATGAGATATATCTATACAAGGGAATATTATTCAGCCATAAAAAGGAATGAAACACTGATGCATTCTACAACATGGACGAACCCTGAGAACATCATGCTACATGAAAGAAGCCAATTATATAAGGCCACATATTGTATTATTCTGTTTATATGAGATGTCAAGAATAAGCAAATTAAAAAAAAAAAAAAAAAAAAAAGAATAAGCAAATTCATTGAGATAGAAAGTGTCTATTTACGGTTGCCAGAGGCTGGTGGGAGCAGGGAATGAGGTGCAACTGTTGAAGAGGATGGGGTTCCTTTTGGGGGTGTTGAAAATGTTCTGGAATTAGATACTACCTGTAGACATTTCCACAGATGGAGTTGCACAACTTTGTCAATATACTAAAAGCCACTGAATTTTATGCTTTGAAAAAAAATGAATGAATAGAAAATGTGAATGGAGGAGAATGTGGAGTTGAATGTTAATAACAAATGGAGCCAAATATAGAGTCTAGTGTTAACCATGAATGGAGCAGAATGTTGAGTCTAACATGAAAAGCAGAAAACAGAGTGTAATGTCTGCTGTTACAACCGAACACAGCAAATGTGTTGTCAGGTGTTAATAGCGATCAGAGAATTTGGTTTCAAGCATTTATAATGAATGTAGCAGAATTCAAAGCCTTAGTGTTAATGGTGCAGAGAACATATTGTTGAGTTTTGTTGCAAGGGTGAATAGAGAGTGTGGCATCTACCATTGATGGCAAATGGAACAGAATGTTTTGTCTCACATTAAAACTTAATGAAACAATCAATGTCATGAAAAAAAAAAAACAGTGGGGAGACTATTCTAGAGTAAAAGAGACAACCATATGCAATATGAATTGGATCCTTGATTGGATCTCTCATCATATTTACTGATGACTTTTTTGACAACTGGGAAAATTCAAATAAAGCTTCTATGTCAGGTGGTATTGAATCATTTCTCATTCAATAGTAATTATTGAATTAATGTTTATTTTCAAAGATGTAACCATGTCATTGTGATCCTTCTTCCTTATTTTGAGGTGAATTGCAATGTCTGTATAAAGCTTCAAATGATTCAGCAAAAATTCCATCTATGTACCTGCCTATTTATCTATCTACCAAGAGAAAGTAAATTTGGCAAAATGATAATTGGTGAATCTAGATGGAGAATATTAGGGTGTTTATTGTAGATTCTTTCAACTTTTCGGTACCAAAACAGAATGTTAAGTGCTGCAGTAATTGGGAATGGTGCAGAACGTTGTGTTTACCATATGGCTGAAGGAAGCCGAGTGTGGTGTCTGGCATCAGCAGCAGAGCAGAATGTTGTGTCTACTGTTGAGGGAATAAAGCAGAATGTGATTCAAATGATAATAGTGAATGTAGCAGAATGCGGAGCTTAGCATTAAAAGAGTAAAGTAGAATGAAGCATCAAGCATTAACAGTGAAAGGAGCAGAATGTTGCACCTCAACTAGGGGTGAATGAAACAGTATGTGGTGTCTGGCATTAATAGTAAATAAAACAGAACATTATGTCTAGTGTTAAATGTGAACTAAGCAGAATGCGAGGTCTACTGTTAACAGCGAAGGGAGCAGAATGTTGCACTGATCGTAAGGGTGACTGGAGGAGAAATCATGTCTGGTGTTGGTAATGAATGAAGGGGGAATGTTGTGTCTGGTGTTAGAAATGAATAGAACAGAATGTTGTGTCTAGCATGAGGGCGAATGGAGCAGAATGTTAATCCGACTTCAATGGTCAATGGAGCAAAATGCTGTGTTCAGTGTTAATAGGGAATGAAACACAATGTGACTTATGAGTTAATAGTAAATGCGGTGTTTAACATTAGAAATGTAAGAATCATATCAAGGTATGTCCAAAAGGGTTGACGCTGGGGGCCTGAGCTGCTGTGTTAAGAAGGGCTTGCTTGCAAGGTTTCCCTTGGCTGGCATTTGGGAACTTGGATTTTGAGAGTGCTCCTACTTTCCCTAACTGATAAGGGCGGCTCACTGTGCCTGGACTGCTTGTACAAACAATCTTCTGAACATCTGCTTTCCTTCTGGGAATCTGGAATTTTGGCACATGCTAGGCAGAAGGGTGCCACCAGTGAGAACGTTGGGTGCTGAGTCTCCCATGAGTGTCAAAACAGTCTTTCTCTTTCTGTCTCTCTGGGAAGAAACATCACACATGAGTGTCTGCATTTTTGTGGCCGGAGTAAGTGTGGGCTCTGTGTGACCACTCATGGGAGAGAATAGAAGCCTGTGCACCAGATCCCCCCAGTCTCTGCCCATGTTCTTTTCTCTTCCTTCCTTTCTTTTTGTTTTTTGTTTTTTTGAGACAGAGTCTCACTCTATCGTCCAGGCTAGAGCACACTGGCATCATAGCTCATTACAACCTCAAAGTTCTGGGCTGAAGTGTTCCTCCCGCCTCAGCCTCCCAAGTAGCTGGGACTACAGGCACATACCACCATGCCTTGCTAAATATTCTGTATTTGTAGGGACAGGGTCTTGCTATGTTGCTCAGACTGGTCTCAAACTCCTGGCCTCAAGTGATCTTTCCACCTTGGTCTCCAAAAATGCTGGGATTACAGGTGTGAACCATTGTGCCCAGCCTATGTTCTTCTCTCCTCATGATCTAGCTGTATATCTTGAATATGTTGTTGTAATAAATTTTAGCTGTTAGTGCAACTAAATGCTGAATCCTATGAGTCCTTCTGTCAAATCTCTGAGTGTGGGTAGTCTTGGAGATCCCTGACACGAAGTATTTACTACTAATGGAGAAAGGAGCAGAATGTCGTACTTCGCTCTAAAAGTGAATGGAGAATGCAGAGTTGAGTGTTGATAGTGAACGGAGAGAATTTGTGTCTAGAGCTGGTAGAGAATGGAGCAACGTTGAGTCTAGCAGAAGGTTTGATGGATCAGAATGCTGGGTCCTACACAGTGTAGTAGATACATAAATAGTGACTAGTTCCTAACGCTCCTCACGTGGCAGGCAGGGGAAGGAAGTGAGCTCTTGCCTTATCTGCCCAGGTGTTCTGAGCTTTTGGGCAGCAGGACTTACCTTGGGCAGAGAAGCTCGTGAGCCAGAGCTCTGGGTGGTCATGGTGAGCACAGTGGTGATGCCCAGGCCCACACGGGCTGGTGCAGCATCCATGTTGATCCAGAAGGAGATCCACGAGAGGATGACAATGAGCAGGCTGGGGATATACATCTGGATCAGGTAGTAGCCCATCTGCCGCTCCAGGTGGAACCGGGCCTCAATGCAGGTGAATTTACCTGCAAGAAATGATAGTGAGAGGGCAGGTAGCCTGGTGGATAGGAGCAAGGGCTTTACGGTCAGAGCACCCTCGGCTGGCATCCTGGTTCAGCCTCACACTAGCCGTGTTTAGGCAAGTGTTTGAATCATTCTGTATCTCGAGTTCCTCATATACAGTAAACTGGGGCTAATAGCAATACCTACTTCGTGTGGCTACCTCCATGGCTACTGCAAGGAAAAAATGAGATGATACTTATGAGGACTTTAGCATAGTCCTCAGACATCACAAATTCCCAGGATTGTCAGTTGCCATCTCCATCATCATCATCATCTTCATCATCATCACTATTTTGTTGCTAAAAATGGGCCTGGCTAAGTGGAGCCTCTACCCTTCTGCCAGTTATGGTCCCCAAACATGACTTGGTTCTGTTACTTCTTGTAAAACCTTTCATTCCTTCCTTCCCTCTTCGTACGAGGAAGTTCCCACTCCCACAGGGTAAAGTTCAAACTCTTCAGTCTGCCCTTGGCAGTCGAGCTCTAACCAGTCTTTCTGTGCCCTTTCCCTTCTGTCTCCACGCTTATTATGACTCCCTGTCTTCCATCCCTTGCCTTCAGCATTCCCCGCCCTTTCACACTTCTGAGCTTTGGACCTTGCTTATCCCTTTGCCTGGAATGGCCTATTCCTTTCCACAACCAGCCTAAGAAATGCTCCTTCTCCTCCATGGTGGTGTAAATGTGAAGTCTCCCCCAGGCAGGCACCTCTTTCTTTCCCTGTGTTCCCTCAGTCCTGCTCACATGATCATCAGAGCCTTGAGGCACACTGCAGAGAGTGAGTGGGCACGTTGCCCTGTCTGTCTTCTGCATGGACTGGGCAGCCTGTCTCCTCCCTGCCTGTGTATCCCTGGAACTGGGACAGGGCCAGACCCACAGCGTGGGACTCAGCTCCTGTCCACTGAAGCATAGTAACTAGGGGGTTTGCTGGAGCTGCATGTAGGCAGGGACTTGTCAGTCTTTTCTCCTTGTACCCACAGGGGCTAGCGTGGAGCTCAGCTCTCACGTAAATGAAAACGGTGAAGAGCAAATGAGAAATGAACGAGAAAGGGCTGTGTGCGTTTCGGTTGTTTCCATGTCTTGGCTGTTGTGAATAATACTGCAATGAAGTGGGAGTGCACATGTCTCTTTGGGATACTGATTTCATTTTTTTTTTTTTTTGGATAAATATCCAGAAGTAGGATTGCTGGATCATAAGGTAGTTCTCAATGGATGTATGGATAAAGAAAATGGAACATTATTCATCCTTAAAATAGAAGGATATCCTACCATTTGTGACAAGATGGATGAACCTGGAGGACACTTTTATGCTGAGTGAAATAACCCAGACACAGAAAAATACTGCATCCCTGTGAGTCTCTCAGCCTGTCCAGGAATGAAGAGAGTATCTTTGAGGTTCTGAGACATCCCTGAGGTGACCCAGAAAGGGACAGCTGTCCCAGACACACCATGTCCCAGCCTGCCTGCCGTTTCACTGGGCTTTCTCCTTCCTTGCACCAGAGTCTAGAATGGTTGCTCTCAGTGCCTCTCCTTTCCCTCTTCTTCTGCTTGGCCTGTTCCCAGCCTGTTGCATGCCTCTGCTCAGCTGGATCCAGGTGGCAGCTTCCTACCCAGCCTTCCAGCTGGCATACCAACCGACTGACTGTCTTCCACAGTGCTTGCGTGAGCTCGTTCCCAGCCCAAGAGGGGCATGCAAAAGCCAGTCTTGATCCTGCCCCAGTGCATTCATGTATTCAGTTTTCCAACAAAGGCCATGCCAGGCATAGGAGACAGACAGCTGAGCTAAACAGTTGTGGTTTCTCTCTCCTCTCGAAGCTCACAGGCTAGCGGACCCTTTCCAACTGTTTACTAACCTTCCCTCTTGCTGAGCTCTAATGGGAGCATTCTTTATACTTTTGCCCTATCAGAAATGCCAGCTGTTCTGTGACAGAGACTGCCAGAGTCTTCCCAATGTCAGTGCTTCCCTTCTCCTTAGGAGTAGGATCCATTCTGGTACCTGTTAAAAAGACTGAGTTTACCAGCTTCCCTTGTAAGTAGGTATGGCCTAAGCTTAAGTTACTTACTCCAGGATTCACAGGAAGAAAATGTCAGAGCTGATCTTTGGTTTCAAAACCTGTTCTCTTAACCCCTAGGTAATAAATACGGAGCTGTGCCCATCATGGGTACTTCTTAAGATCTGTGGAACCAACAACGATTGAATGAGTGTTTGAAATGATGTCTGGTCCTGGTGGGGGTGAGGGTGGGGGTGGGAGGATGGGATCTGATGAGGGTGGCCCCTTGTACCTACCTGTGTTGTAATGCTTGGTGCAGTATCTCAAATCCTTCTCTTCCTTCAGGATAAACTGAGGCAGGGTTAGACCATCTGCCACCTGCACTGCTCCCTGCTCCTGCCACTCAAAGATGAGGTCGTTCATGGTGTATCCAACTGGGATGGGGTCAGAAGAAGGAGAAGTCACCACCCAGAAGCAAGTTTGAAGCATGTCAGGGTTGGTTAGGGTTAGAGGCTGAGAGAGGCATCAGACCCTCAATAGAACTCATGAGACACTAGTACTTCCTTTTTTTCCCCACAAAGGATGTTTTAACCGTGGGGGTGGGGACAAGGTGTGAAATGGTGACTCAAGTTGGGCCAATCAGATTCTCTGCCCCAGGACTTTGGCTCTTGAGTGAAGTAACAAGAGGTTCAGAACCAGGGGTTGCTGATTCCCCCCATGGGCTGGGCTCCAGGGAAATGGTCTCTTAGTTTCTGCTATCTAGATGCTCCACCCAGTGCTGTACTTTTAAGTTAGATTGGTTTCTGTGTTTGCGGTCAAAGAAGTCAGCTATCCCATCCATTAAAACCTTGGTTCTCCACGAACCCTTTTCCAAGCCCCTCTCTCCTTCCCCATCAGAAGAAAGTACGCCTTCTGCCGTGAGGCCACAGCATGTTGTACTTTGAACAACACGCCAACCACTTCCTGCCCTTAGTTAATCTGTGCAGTCAGTTCTCTTTCTCCCCTGCTGGGGGAGCATCCTGTGAGTTCAAGGACCACAGCTTATTCAAGCTATTTCTTCTCCATTCCTGCTGGAGGGACAGGGGACATGCCTCTGGCTCTAAAGCTTGGGCCTTAGGGAGACAATGTAAGGGAAATTATATTTCTAATCCATTTTCTAAAAGCAAAGCCCTTATTCTAGTATTATATTTTGGGTTATTACAGTAATCTCCTGGTGTCCAGCAGTTAGGAGCAGCTGTGTGGGAATTTCTGCCTGTCTCGTGGGTAAATGGGAGCCTGGTTCTTTGGAGAGGGCTCGTGCAAGGGACTCACAGCTTTCCAGTTGCATGATACACGTCTGGACGTCCATGGGGAAGTTCTTCAAGTCCATGGGGCAGGCCAGTGTCAGTGTGATTCTGGGAAGAGAAGGGAGTTGAATGATGCTGGATCCATAGGTCAGGGAGGCTGTGCCTCCCTTCTAGTGACTCTCAGCAAAGCAGTCGTCCAGGATAGGGAAAGGAGGTCAGGAACCAGTGTGTGTGGAATAAATGTGTGTATGTTTCCAAGTTCTTGATACGGAACTTGGTAAGCTAGGTTGCCTAAAGTCACACAGAGGCAGTGGAACTTCTGGGTTTCTTTGGAGTCTATCTGGCTTTGAGAGGGCTGTCTTTAGCAAGTTGCCTGCAGGCCAGGGGCTGCTCACTTCCCCTGCTCTTCTGCAGAGCCCTAAGGGAGAGACGGAGGTCGGGCTGTAAGCTGAGCAGCACAGGCCTCAGGCAGCCCCGGGCGCAGCTGCAGCAGATGCTGCAAGTGCTTCTTGGCTTCCTCTCTTCACACCCTGAGCTCATCAAAAGTGATTTCCAAGGGGCCCCCTGCCTTCTGGGTGTCCAAACACAGCTGACTCATATCAGTGGGCTCCCGCTGGGGTCAGCTGGAAAGGGTCTGGCTTCCCGGGATTCCGGGCTAGCTGTTTATTTTGGTTGTTCAATCCTTGCAGAGGCCACGGACTCAGAAGCAGAGGGAGTCCCTGCAACAGAACCTGAGGCCCGCAGCCTAGGCTGGGACACAAGCCTGCAGCTTGAAAGGCCCAGCCAACATCTGAGCACCTCCTGCAGGGAACAGAGGAGACAGGCTCTCGGAGCCCAGAGGAGCCTTAGATCATCAAGCCAACTCCTTCCTGTGACAGGTGAGAAGACCAGGGTGCAGAGAGGGACAGGGTGAGAGTCACCTAAGGTCACAGAGCAAGCTGATGGCTCAGCCAGGATTCAAAGCCAGGTCTCTTGGCCTTTGGATTCTGAGGCCTAATGGGGTTGGCCCATGCATTCGCTGGCAGGCTTTCTAGCACTGCTATCGTGAAAAGCCAACACCCCCAGATACCTAATTGGGGGTGTTCTAGTGCTGCGGGCCCCAACCCCTGTGCTACAGACCAGTACTGCTCCGTGGCCTGTTAGGAACCAGGCCGCACAGCAGGAGGTGAGCTGCGGCCCGGCCCGAGTGAGTGGAGCTTCCTCTGTATCTACAGCTGCTCCCCATCGCTCACATCACCGCCTGAGCTCCGCCTCCTGCCAGACAAGCGGAGGCGTTAGATTCTCCCAGGAGAGCGAACCCTACTGTGAACTGCGCTTGTGAGGGACCTAGGTAGCTCGTTACTTAGGAGAATCTAATGCCCGACGATCTGAGGTTAGCTGAGGTGGTGATGCTAGCGCTGGGGTGCAGCTGCAAATACGGATTATCATTAGCAGAGAGGTTTGACTGCACAATAAATGCAATGTGCTTGAATCATCCTGAAACCATCCCCCACTGCCACTGACCAAAGAAAAATTGTCTTCCATGAAACTGGTCCCTGCTGCCAAAAGGGCTGGGGACCACTGTTCTCATGGAGCTTAGCTGCTGGCACCTCACCTGCTCATGGCAAGGCACTCAAGCCCTTTGTCACCTTCTCCCTCCAGTATACAACCACAGCTCTGCATGTGGGCCCCTTTAAGCAAGGGGTAGAAGTAAGAGGGGAGAAAGGGAAGGGAGAGGGAAAGGAAGAAGGGGGAAAAGAAGGGAGCGGAAAGAGGAGGGGGAAAGTGGATGCAGTTGAATTTCTGAAAATAAAACCTCCAAAGTGGGACAGCTGTCACACTAGGTTAAATTCCTTGAGTTGAATGACCTTGGAAACATCACTTTATGCTGATTTGTCCTTCCATCATGCTGCACTGGGACTTAGCTTCCTGCAGATAGGAAGCTAGCCTGGCAGCAGCGAAATCCAAACGAGGTGACCCTACCCTTCCCCCAGCCAGTCAGGGCCTGGATGGCCATTTCTTAAGCCCCTCACTCTTCCAGTCTGGATGGGTGCAGGGTGGGACGGGCTCCAGTGTGAGGAAGGCCACGGGAGCCTCTGGTTCCTCCAAGTCTGTCCCCCCCCAGCTGCTCTCTGAGTTCAGCCTCACCTGATGGCTAGGACCTGTACAGCCTCCCCAAGAGGCCTGGACTCCTTGGAGGGGACTCATTTAGGACTAATGCCCTTTTAAGTTCTTTGAAACAAAAACATGTTCATTCATTCATCAAATAGTTGAGTGCCTCCTGAATGCCGTGCACTGTTCTAGACTTTGAGAGGGCGTTGGATCTACATTCATACAGATTAGAATCTAGGCTCTGCTACTAACTGGGGACTTTGCCAAGTCACTTTCATTTTCAGATCCTCGCTTGCCTAATCTGTAAAATGGGCACAATAAAACCTACTTCATGGGTTGTTAGGAGGGTAAGATATAATACATGAAAAGTACCCGGCAGAGTGAGTAAATTCCCAGTAAGTGGTAGGTGCTGTTATTACCTGTATAAGGTCATTTCTTCACCTCTTGGGCATTGGTCATTTCTCTCCATGTCTCTTTTGGGGAGGAGATGAGGGCGGAGGTGGGGAGGGGTTGCAGGAGATTCTGAAAGCTTTGCCTCTAACCAGTATCTGAGGGACACCCCACAGCTGGGGAGGGTATCCGACCCCCCAGACTCGATGCAGGGTATAGGAGATAGAACAAGTTTATAGAAGGATGGAGCAGCCCTGGTGTACGCTGTGAGCAGCACCATCCACCTGGCAGCCCCATTTACTCTGGAGTTGCTGTGATTTTCCAGGTTTTGTGCCTTTGCTGCTGCTATGGGTGGCCATGTTTGAATACTCTTTCTTGTCTTGTTTTATGGAATTGTTGGGTAACTTAAACCCCACCGTCTCCAGGATGCCTTCCCTGGTTTTCTCGATTGTGTTCACAGTAAACCATTCGCTCCTAGGACTCCCCATGGTATTTTATTCTTGCTTGCTGAGTGGAAGTGGCAGAGCTAGGTCTGCCTATTCTGCAGGGGCCTTGGGTTGCCAGGACCTGCACGGAACTCACCTGATGCTGTAGAGGACGTTCCCATTCCGGGAGATCCTCAGCAGTTTGTTGTCCGTGGTGATCTCGTGGAAGTGGGCGCCCTTCTCATTGGCGAAGAACAGGTCGGGTTTCCAGATGGAATCTAACATGGATGGGTCCAGGTCCAGAGAGTCATCAGGGTATTCGTTATAGGCCAGACGGGGGTCGTTCCACTGCTGCCTCAGGAAGATGTTGACCCTATAGTCCTACAGCCGGGAGAAAATGCAGCATGAGATATTACTGCACCAACTCTCCCAGGACCCAGGTGCTTGCGGTCAGTGCTCTCCAAAACCTTTCCTGCAGGATGCTATTAGAGGGTGGTTGCTCTTGTGTGTGCGTGAAACATAAAGTCTGTGCATCAGGCAACAACCATGGGAGTCATAGTTACCCCTGAAAATCCTCTTAAATGGTCCATGAAGCCTATTCAACCCTGAACTGAGATTATTTAAATGTTATTCCTTTTTTTGAAAAAAGTTTAAACTAGAAAGTTCAAAGACTGATGTATAAACAGCTGTTTTCATAATATTTTTTTTTTTTGGAGACAGAGTCTCACTCTGTCACCCTGGCTAGAGTGCGGTGACATCATCATAGCTCACTGCAACCTCAGACTCCTGGGCTCAAGCGATCCTCCTGCCTCAACCTCACTAGTAGTTGGGACTACAGGCGTGCAACACCTTGCCCAGCTAATGTTTTCATAATCTTGTTAATATTTTGTCATGTTTGCTGCAGTTTTTTAGATAAGAGAAATAATATATTAGAGATAAAGTTGAAATCCCCCTTTTACACATCAACCTCGATAGTACAGAAATTCGTATCACCCTGAGGCTGCAGAGTCACCAATCTAGACAGACTGAAGGAATGAAAGGAAAGACTGAAAGCTGATGTCTGAGCATGCAAACTTTTCTGCCTAAAAAAGAACACTTGATTCCCAGGCAGTGAAGGAGGGATGGGCGGAAGAATTCTACTGTGTTCCTGCTGGTCCTAGGGTGCATACCACTCTCTTTTAATACCAGCCTTCTGTAATTTTCTATGACATGTGTTGATTTGTTTGGAAAGCTTTAACAGATGTCATTAAATAGGAGTCACGTGTTACTGGCTTCTCAACTCAGTGCTAAGTTAATGTTTCTCTGATGGAATTGCAGTGTAGTTAATCCACTAAAAAAATAATTCACAGATCACATCAATCAGGGAAACGTTAGACGAGATGAAATGCAGCAGGTTTTTTTTAATTGTAGGACTTCTCAGAGACCTGAATATGCTAATGAGTTGTGTGCGTCTCCAAGAAGGGAATAGAACATGCAGTATTTCCCTGGCTTAGTTTGGCCATGGAACTCTTATTTTGTGCATGATGTTCATCCTCTACAGGATGTGGGATAGGAATTTCTGTCCTAGTCAAAACTCCATCACCCCTACCCCCCCACCACTTTTTTTTTTTTTTAGATGAAGAAACTGAAGTCCAGGAAGCATTGAGAGTGGCCCAAGGTGACTTAAAATGCAGGGGCAAGGCTGATTCTGGAACCCAAGTGTTCTGACTCCTAGCTGAGAGTTTGTTGAACTTCCCCTGCTAATCCTAGAAGAACTGAGTCTGCTTAGTTTCCATTCACAGTGTGAGAAGCAATTATGGTATGGGTAGGTCTCCATGGCAGAAAACTGGGTAATGCAGTAAAGAAATATCTCCATTAAGAGAAGTTTCTTATTTTCTTAGGCGCTGTAAACCTGGGGTCCATGAATAGTATGACACTGCAGGTAGAATTCATGGCATATTTGTGTTTCCCAAGGAGGAAGGGCATGGCTCTCCGTGTTGGATTCCCAAAAGGGTCTTGTAGTTCTTCAAAAGATTAATAATCTCAGCTTAAGTCCAACTTTAAATGCTCTCCTTCAAGGACTAATCTCCACAAAAACGAGGGCCCGTTATTGCTCTTTCCTTGAGGGTCCTGCATAAATGAGGTCATGCTAGATTTTATTTTGGGATACTGCTCCTAAATCCTCATCAATCTCGGTCTGTCATCAGCAGGGGGGAACTAAAACAAACAACTTTCCTCCTCACTCTCACCTTCACCCTCATGCCTCCCTAATTCCTCCCACAGCACATGCCTCGTTCTATTTGCCTACAGAAATATCAATAGCTTTATAAAATGTTCCAAGGTATTTTATAGGATTGTTCTGTAGTTTAATTGCAGCCTCTCCTTCTAGCCCCATGGAAAGTGACATTTGGTCTCATAATCTCATGTCTTACAAGTCCCGTGGTAGAGGGAGACTTCAGGCCAGGCCTGGATGTTGGATCTTTGTTTGTCCTGCCGGTAGTAATGGACAGCTCTGAATCTGGCCCCATGTGATCGGGGGGAGGAGGGGTGGGGAGGGGTGGTGGTGGTTGGAAAAAGCCTCCTTTCTCCCTTGGATTTTACATGAAGCGCGCGCGTGTGTGTGTGTGTGTGTGTGTGTGTGTGTGTGTGATTGTGTGCTACGATGAGGCATTGGGCAAGTCATATCGGAGTGGACAGACTATGAATGGTTGGGCAGAAAAAGCCACTGGTCCCCAAGCCCCAGCTGCACTTTTGATGCTCTTGCCAGTGAAATGTCAAGTTCATTTACGTGGCTGGAAGGAAGAAAAGAAAGTGGCATTTCTTAAAATGGTCTGTTAGGCAGCAGGCGCCATTCTATATGCTGTCACATACATTTAATCCTTGTCCCCTGCAAGCCAGACATTCAGGTTCCCATAGTGAGGGTAAGGACACAGGTTTGGGAAGGTTGAGAAATGTGTCCAGGGCAAAGGGCTAGGGAGTGGCAGAGCTGGGATTGGAATCGGCATCAGCCTAAGCCTCTGTTGGGCACTTGTGAGTTGCGTCACGTGGTGTGGCCAGCCAGTTCTGTGCCAGGGACACCTTCTCAACCTCATTGCCTAGGCAGATTCTGCCTGCTCAGCTCAAGCCTCATCTCCTGCAGGTGCCTTAATGCCCCCAGGCTTCCCTGACCTGTCCCTTTCTGATCTCCTAGCAAAACCAAATCACCAGAAACATTTCATGGAGCACTTCCTTGCTATATCTGTCTTATCTCCTTAACTTGATTGGCAGCAAGCTGAGGGGATGAACCAGACATTATATTTGCACTGCACCATCCCACAGAGGTACCCAGTACCCAGGAGGAGGAGGCAAAGTCAGAAAAAGTTGGAGCAGAACGGGCTTTCCTCATTTTGTAGCTGGAGAGAATGAGACCCAGATGGGGAAGGCATTTTCTAAGGTCACACAGCAATTCAGGAAAGAACCTGAGATGGGAACCTGGCTCTGCTTCTCTGGGCCTTGTGTAGAAAGAAGTTAGGCTAGATAGTCTCTGAGAACCTTTCCAAAGCTAATGGCTGATTGTTTTTACTTTTATTTTTTCCAATAACGCTCAACTGAGTATCTACTAATTGTCAGGCACTATTCTAAGCACTGGAAAACCTGCTGAGAACAAAAAAGGTATATTTATTGAGTTATACTGAGATAAGGGCCATGATAGGGTTAGGTACAGGGTGCTAGGGAAATATAGAAGACAGCTTCCCATCTAGACTTGCGAGTGGTGATCAGGAAGTCTCCAGGAAGAGTGATATTTAAAGTGAGGTCAAATACGGTTGAGCCAAAGAGGAAAATCATTTTGGGCAGTTGGGAGTGCGTACGTGAAGGCCTAGAGCAAAGTGTGAGTGTGGCACTTCAGAAAGCATAGCAAGTAGATGAATAAGGAGGGAAGCAGGAGGAAGCACACAGGGTCTTGCAAGCCGACTGAGGAATTTGGACTTCATCCTGATAGTGATGTGGAGCCTTGGAAGAATTTTAAGTAGAGATGGGTGTTATTACATTTGCATTTTATTACTGATATTTAAATAATTTTTGGTTTTTTCTTATTGTGTAAGTCAAGCATATTGGCAGTAAAAAATATAAATGTGGCCAGGTGCAGTGGCATGCCTGTAATCCTAACACTCCGGGAGGCCGAGACAGGAGGATTGCTTGAGCTTAGGAGTTCGAGACCATCCTGAGAAAGAGTGAGGGAGGCTGAGGCAAGAGGATTACTTGAGCCAAAGAGTTTGAGGTTGCTGTGAGCTAGGCTGATGCCACAGCATTGTAGCCCAGGTGACAGAGTGAGACTCTGACTAAAAATATATATATATATATAAAAATGTACATCATGCAAAAGAGGAAAAATGGGCCAGGCGTGGTAGCTCATGCCTGTCATCCTAGCACTCTGGGGGGCCTCAGTGGGAGAATCACTTGAGGTTGGAAGTTTGAGACCAGCCTGAGCAAAAGCAAGGCCCTGTCTCTACCCAAAACAGAAGAAACTTAGCCAGGCATGGTGACACATGCCTTGTAATCCCAGATACTCAGAAGGCTGAGGCGGGAGGATCGCTTGAGCCCAGGAGCTTGAGGTCATGGTGAGCTGTGAGGATGTCACTGTACTCTACCCAGGGCAACAGAGTGAGACTGTTTCCATCAATCATAATAAGATATAATAAACTAAGAAAAATAAAACCCATAGGGTCTCACTATGAAATGACTAATGAACAGTTAACTCGAGAGACAAGGGGGATGTATCTCCGTATCCTCAGGTGGCTTGGCTCCTCCTACCTGCAGTTCCTGCCCTCAGCAGCTGCTACCCAAACAAGTTGCCGCCACTGATTTTCTTCCCCAAAGTTGGTAAACAGCAGTGGGAAATGCAGCTTGGAAGAGATCAATGTCATTGGTGTAATAGGCTGAAAGCTAAATGCTATTTTGCCTATTTAGCCCTATATTTATGTTGGTTGGTGTTTGACATGCTGAGGGTTCAGGTTCAAGTTTAGGGGCTGGAGGAGCAACATTTGAATTCTCCACCTTAGCACCTCAGCATCCACCTCTGGTAGCTGGTTCCTAGGTCTTAAACTCTCAAGGGTCGCCCCTAAACCTGAAGCAGGAGGGATTTCCAGAGCTCCAGTTCCATGGTCTTCAGCATAAACTGCCTCTGAGATTCCCTGATGATCTGACTTCTGGTGACTGGGCAATTAGCTGCCTTGCTTGTAAGACCAAGGTGGAGCGTTAACTCACTCATTCATCGATCCCACCAATATTTATTGAGGGTTTCCTGTGCACACCTGTAGTTGGATCTGTCCCCCTACCCTTACTGTGTCTAATTTCCGATTCTAACATAAGTCCTCTAAACTCAGTATTGTGGTGAAATAGAAGGCATGAAGTGTTTTAGCAGG